TACGAAGTTAATTTTTTTCTTTAGTACGTACTGGTTAAAATAATTGTATTATTAGCTTATAATTTATGTGTGCTGTTTAGAATGACATCCAAACTGTCGTATGTGCACGCCTCTTGCAAAACAGTGATATAGGGTAAGGGTAAGTAGGGTAACTAGTGACATGGTCCTCAGCAAATGGGGAAAATTAAAACCAAACAAACCCCCGGGCCCTGATAAACTGTTTACCAGGGTTTTAAAGGAAGTAAAGAGGAGCTTAGCATCCTTTGGCTAATCTTTTCAACATATCACTACAAACTGCATAGTGCCAGGCAAGTGGAAAATGGCAACTGTAATACCTATTTACAAAAAGCAGGAGGCAGGTCCTTAGCTTCTAGCTATAGACCAAAAAGTCTTACCTCCATAGTGGAAAATTTTATGGAATCAATAATTGCCGAGGCAATTTGTAGCCACCTTGAAAGGCATAAATTGATTAATTGAATCTTAGTTTGGTTTTACAAAGAGGCATTCCTGCCATACGAATTTATAACTTTTTTCACCAGAATATTTGAGGAGGTAGATCATGGTAATGATATGATATTGTGTATCGGATTTCCCGTAAGGCTTTTGATGGGTTTCCCACATCAGAGGCTGTTGAGGAAAATTAAGCACATGCAATAGGAGGGGGAAATTTTCTTCGGGGTTTAGAGGCGTGGTTGAGAGATAGGCAGCAGAGAGTTTGCGTAAAATGGGGAAAATTTCAGAGTGGGGGTGCATCAAAAGTGGTGTTCCCACAGGGGTCATTGTTGGGCCCTTTGTTGTTCACAATTTATATAATTGACATTAAGAGGATAAATTTTGACAAAAAGTAAGTTTGCTGATGACCCAAAATAGGTTGCCTAATTCATTCTAATGGGACATTAGAGCACTCCAGGAAGATTTCAGTGACTGATGCAGTGGTCGGAGAAGTGGCAGATGCAGTTTAATATAGACAGATGCAAAGTTTAAACATTGGACAAGAAAATAAACCATGCCACATAAAAAACAAAAAAATTTGTAGATCTCATATTTACTGATTGCAAAAAAGATTTGGGAGTTTTGGTTGCATTTAATCTGAAATCAAGACGCAGTGCATAAGTGTTTGCAATAAGTGTACAGAACCCTTGGCTTAATTATTAAGGAGCATAAATAATAGGAGTCCTCGGGTTCTTCAACTTTATATATCTTTGGTTAAGCCTCATTTAGATTATGCTGCACATTTGGTCACCGTTTTTACAGAATGGATATAAATGCACTGGAAAAACGTAAAAAGGGGATGATAAAGTTGATCCGTGTATCAGAAATCTTCCCTATGAGGATAGACTTGGGATCCTGAATCTGCACTCCTTAGAAAGGTGTAGAATTAGGGGTGATATGATTGAGGTGTATAAATGGAAATCACGAATAAAAAAAGGGGAAATAAAAATAGCATGCTAAAAATATCTAGCCAAGACAGGACTCGCACTAATGATTTTAAGTTGGAAAAATTCAGACTCGGAAGGATATAGGAAGCATGGTTTGGTAGTAGAGTTGTGGATGAGTGGAACCAAACTCCCAGATCCCATCATAGAAGCTAAGAGATTGTGTAGTTTTAAAAATAGGTTTAAAGATAATATGCGAGTGGGGGGTGAGTTGGACCTGACAAGCTTGTGCAATAGGTCTGATGCTGTGCCCCTTCCTTAAGTGGATTGATTGACCTGACTAGATGGGTCATTGGTTTAAGCCAGGTGACTTGGACCTGCCTCACATAGGCCAGTGGCCTGCTGCAGTGTTCCTTCTTTCTTATATCTTATGGTTTGAAAATGTTTCTTTTTGTGTCACCCTCCCTTTCCCTGGGAGATGGCAGCATGTTGAAAAAAAATTTTTAGTTTACTTTTTTATCTCTAGACAATAGTAAATTTTAAGTTGGATGATGGCATCAAAGCAGAAGTGATGCAAACTCCATATAGAAACATGAAACAATTAGGAGGGCAGTATTTTGTAACCTCCAACTGGATCATCTTCAGTAGATTATGCTGAGTAAGGGTTTTTAATTGGAGGCTGAATATATAGCTCTGTTCTTTTGTTTAACCTCCATTTGGGTTTTTGATCATCTTTACTAATTATTAAATGACACTGGGTTATCAGTTATAGTTGACAGAATAGCGGGAAATCTCGATTTTGTTGAGCTTGCCCCCGGGAAAAGGGAAACGCGTTATTAAATTACAAGTGGCCCTGACATGTAAACCACCTAACTTACTCCTCCTTTCTCCACATTTACAAGCATTTTTCTTTCTGTAAAGATTGTCATAAAAAATAGTATATATTATCAGTTCAAATTCCCAGGCCCAATAACTTACATTTATAACATTGTGCATTTCATAAGAAACTGTTCATCTTACAATGACATGATGGTAACTACTCTTCCAGAACTAATATGCTGAAATGTGTGGGGGGTTACCTGTAATGATACTGCATTTGTTGCACCAAAGTCCATCCAGAACAGTACTGTACTAATACAATATATTCTTTTAATTTTCTTTACCATCAGATGATTATAGCACCATCAGATCCTGTATCACTTGATGATTTTGTACCGGATGGTGGACGGTTAGACCAGTCATTCCTCAATGACATTATTTCAGTGCAAAGAAAGGAGGTAACGCCCCACCACCACCGCTACGGGAGGATGACAGGTACAGTAATTTTTTTTTTAACTATATCAACTTTTTTCCCACCTAGGTAATAGATTTGATTTTGCCATTTGAAGTGATTAGTTTATGGTGCATCCCATGTCCACCCTGTTGGCAGTAGTGCAAGAGTATATGGATACACAGAAGACCTTGGAACTGTTCCCAAAAGGGTTAATAAAAATACATCAGTGTTTACATCCACTAGGTAGAGTAACCCAAAGATGGAAAACAACGTTTCCTTTGTTACCTGTCTTGCCAGGAGTTTGTAGAAATCACAGTTCAATGATTTGCCAAACTGCAGCATTCCCACCCATCCTGCTGAGTCTGCATCAAGTTAGTAACTAGTTTCTCTGAACCCCTTTAATAATGTAACCTTTCTGTTTAGAAAGTAAGTACTATATTGGATAATTAAAGACCTGAGTGAGGTTATAGTATAATTCAATTATTTAATTGGACTAAAAACGAAGAAAATAGTGATTAAGTTTAACCTTAAAAAGACAGTACTTATTTGAGTGCTGGGTATGTTAATGCTTAGCAGTCTTTGTTTTTCATATCTCTGTTTTTTTTGGGCCATTCTTCTTTTCCTAACTTGATTACTGGTGATTTTTTGTGAAATTTGATTTTCAAATATTCATATTCTTCTCTATCCAGCAATACAGGAGGGCCCACTTTACAGCTCATTTATGGCGTTTTGCTAATACAGCGATTGTCAATTATAGCCATTCTTCATTTACTCAGACTTCTACAATAAATATCTTCGCCACTCAATTAAGCTAAGGATAAAAATATTTTAAAGTAATGTGTGTACTGTATATGCATTTTTTAGGTTCAGCTCTTTGCTGACAATTTTATAATAGTGTTAACTTATCGGGCTTTATGTGCATTTAAAAGCGATAAAAGGCTATTTCACTGTTTTAACGATTTTCACTTACAGCAGTAGAGTGGAATCTAACCTGCTGTGTACGTGGGACCCTCCTGTATTCTTATTTTTTATAAAATTTTCCTTTTATGTATTTCATGCTTATGCTGATTTACTTTATTCCTTTTTATCCATTTCAGTTTGAAGTCTTTTATTTTTTAGTTACCTAAAAATAAAGATTGCTTTTAACTGTCAACAATTTCCAACAATGGTTTTTGGTCATAGCTAGTCCTTTCTTTTTCTCTTGTGGTTAAAATTTTCAATATTTATCATTTCATTTACTTTTATTTTTTATTTCTGCATTTTGTTTTGTTGTATTTCTGATTATTCTTCTTGGATTATTTCAATATCTTCCAGTTTTTTTATATATTTAATAACTCTTGTTATCTTTAAAAGGTTTACTTACGTTTTATATTTCGGTCTTGTCAGATTTAGTTCAATATTTGTTATTCATGTATATTGAGCCTTAATGTTGTTGAAACCGAAGATTTTTTACTCAGGTTTATATGGTTTTATTTATATGATCTCCATAATTGTTTTTTGCACAACTTTAGTAAGACTAGTTTAGGTTTGTGCATAAGTTTTAAAAGAAAAACTGTATTGAAGAATAATAAATATAATGTACAAATGTTTGTACACACACGATTGCACTGGAAAGAATTTAACTTGATACAGTGAGTGATATGATAGGTGGATATATATAGTAACTTGGAAAGAAGCACATTATTTGCAAATGTCAGGTAGATATCACAGGATGAGAAATGTAGCCAGAATGGAATGAAATATTTCTCATTTAATCTGGTTATAGAAGATTCTGCATGACATACTGTAATACAGTTTTTGGAGAGAGAACATTAAATATCAATAGAAGACTTATTTGTTTTTTTTTTTATTTATTCCAGTGAAGAAGAATGTGATGGAAAAACCAATGGTGTCAGGGTTTTCAGGTTGACCTGGACCCCGATGACCTTCAGCTTGGTTAAATGTGAAAATTGTTTCTGATGAAATGGAAGAACCTGAGGTTGAGAAAGTGAAAATTAATACCAAAGTGTCATTGGTTAAGTGTGATACTTCAGAATTAGGTTTTTATAATCTGGGATAGTAGTGATGGTGTGAGAAAATAGTTTAAAAAGGATGTGAAAATTAAAAGCAAAAGGAATTTGACTGATAGGTGAAAAGCGAGAATCACAGGAAGTTTTAGTAGGTGTGTCAAATCTGAGTATTGAAGACATGGACTCCTTCAGTTTGCAACCAGATAAAGAAACAAATGCCCTCCTGGGGTTTAGAAACTATGAGAAAGAAGGCAAGGAGGAAAAGGAGGAAAATCGATAAACTCGATGATTGGCTTAACTCTGAAGAGGGACCATTGTAATCCTTTGTTTCTACTATCAGGTGTAATGCCTGACATGCTGGTCTACAGGGTTCAGATGCTGAGGATGGTAAGTTTTAAAACTAAAATGAAAAGATTACCAGTTGACAGATGCATTTGGTAAGTGTTTATCCAATGTAAGGTGTACAGTCAGCCCTCACTTTCATGAGTTCCACTTTCGCGAGCCTTCGAACATTCGCAAGTGCTCAGTTCATTGTTTGTTATTAAACCATAACATGTAGTAGGGTTGGTAGACAGCAACCACCCAGGGAAGTACTACCGTCCTGCCAGATGACTGTTTAAACAGAAACCTGTAACTGTTTTGCATGATGGTAGGATTGCTGGTTTCTTTTTCTGTCTCATAAAAAACGCTAGATAACAGGGGATATTTGCTACTCCTACTTACACTTTGGTCACACTTCACAGACACGCACATGCATTTTTATATTACTTACATCTAGGTTTTTCTCCTTTTTCTAAATAGCTCTTGTTCCTCTTTATTTCTTCTATTGTCCATTTGGGGAAGTGGAAAAGAATCTTTCCTCCGTAAGCCATGCGTGTCGTATGAGGCGACTAAAATGCCGGGAGCAATGGGTTAGTAACCCTTCTCCTGTAGACATTTACTAAAAAGAGAAGAAGGGAAAAACTTCATAAAACTGGGATGCTTAAATGTGCGTGGATGTAGTGCGGATGACAAGAAACGATGATTGCTGATGTTATGAATGAAAAGAAGTTGGATGTCCTGGCCCTAAGCGAAACAAAGCTGAAGGGGGTAGGGGAGTTTCAGTGGGGGAAATAAATGGGATTAATTGGGTATCTGAGAGAGTTAGAGCAAAGGAAGGGGTAGCAGTAATGTTGAATGATCAGTTATGGAAGGAGAAAAGAGAATTTTGAATGTGTAAATTCAAGAATTATGTGGGTTAAAATAAAAAGGTTGGATGTGAGAAGTGGGTCATAAAAAGGGTGTATGCACCTGGAGAAGAGAGGAATGCAGAGGAGAGAGAGAGATTTTGGGGGATGTTAAGTGAATGTATAGGAGCCTTTGAACCAAGTGGGGAGAGTAATTGTGGTAGGGACCTAAATGCTAAAGTAGGAGAAACTTTTAGAGAGGGTGTGGTAGGTAAGTTTGGGGTGCCAGGTGTAAATGATATGGGAGCCCTTTGATTGAACTTTGTATAGAAAGGGGTTTGTTATAGGTAATACATATTTTAAGGAAAAAGAGGATAAATAGTTTAACAAGATTTTGATGTAAGGCGAAATGACAGTAGTTTGTTGGATTATGTATTTGGGAGATAAAAGACTGTTGAGTAGACTTCAGGATGTACATGTTTATAGAGGGGCCACAGATATATCCCGATCACTTTCTGTTGTAGCACACTGAGAGCAAAAAGGGAGATGGGATACAAGGAGAATAGAAGCATCAGGGAAGAGAGAGGGGGAAGGTTTTTAAACTAAAAGAGGAGGCGTTAGGGTAAGTATAAACAGCTATTGGGGATAGATGGGCTAAAGAGAGCATAGGCAATGGGGTCGAAGAGGTATGGGGTAGGTTTTAAAAATGTAGTGTTAGAGTGTTCAGCAGAAGTTTGTGGTTACAGGAAAGGGGGGTGCGGGAGGGAAGAGGAGCGATTGGTGGATTTATGATGTGAAGAGAGTAGTAAGGGAGAAAAAGTTAGCATATGAGGGAAATTTTTACAAAGTAGAAGTGATGCAAGGAGGGGAAAAGTAGATGGAGAAAAAGGGGAGAGGTTAAGAGAGTGGTGAAGCAAGTAAAAAGAGAGCAAATGAGAGGTGGGTGAGATGTTATCAACAAATTTTGTTGAAAAAAAGAAAAGTTTTGGAGTGAGATTAATAAGTTAAGAAAGCCCAGAGAAAAATGGGGTTTGGGCAGTTAAAAAATGGAGAGGGAGTTATTTTAAAAGGAGAGTTAGAGGTATTGGGAAGATGGAGGGAAAATTTTGGGAATTGTTAAATGTTGATGAAGATAGGGAAGCTGTGATTTCATGTATAGGGCAAGGAGGAACAACATCTTGTAGGAGTGAGGAAGAGCCAGTTGTGAGTGGGGGGGAAGTTCGTGAGGCAGTAGGTAAAATGAAAGGGGGTAAGGCAGCCGGGATTGATGAGATAAAGATAGAAATGTTAAAAGCAGGTGGGGATATAGTTTTTGGGGTGGTTGGTGCAATTATTTAAATAATGTTTTGGAAGAGGGTAAGGTACCTAGGGATTGGCAGAGAGCATACATAGTTCCTTTGTATAAAGGCAAAGGGGATAAAAGAGAGTGCAAAAGTTATAGGGGGATAAGTCTGTTGAGATACCTGGCAAAGTGTATGGTAGAGTTATTATTGAAAGAATTAAAAGTAAGACGGAGAATAGGATAGCAGATGAACAAGGGGGGCTTTAGGAAAGGTTGGGGGTGTGTGGACCAGGTTTTTTACAGTTTGAAACATATAAGTGAACAGTATTTAGATAAGGCTAAAGAGGTCTTTGTGGCATTTATGGATTTGGGGAAAAAGGGGTATGACAGGGTGGATAGGGGGGCAATGTTTGGGAGATGTTGCGGTGTATGGTGTAGGAGGTAGGTTACTGAAAGCAGTGAAGAGTTTTTTTCGAGGATAGTGAGGCTCAAGTTAGAGTATGTAGGAAAGAGGGAAATTATTTCCCAGTAAAGTAGGCCCTTTGAAAGGATGTGTGATGTCACCGTGGTTGTTTAATATATTTATAGATGGGGTTGCAAGGAAGTAAATGCGAGGGTCTTGGCAAGAGGCGTGGAATTAAAAGATAAAGAATCACACATAAAGTGGGAGTTGTCACGTTGCTCTTTGCGATGACACTGTGCTCTTTGGGAAAATTCTGAAGAGAAGTTGCAGAGATTGGTGGATGAATTTGGTAGGGTGTGCAAAAGAAGAAAATTGAAAGTGAATACAGGAAAGAGTAAGGTTATGAGGATAACAAAAAGATTGGGTGATGAAAGATTGGATATCAGTTGGAGGGAGAGAGTATGGAGGAGGTGATGTATTCAGATATTTGGGAAATGGACGTGTCAGCGGATGGGTCTATGAAAGATGAGGTGAATCATAGAATTGATGAGGGGAAAGGATGGTGGTGCACTTAGGAGTCTGTGGAGACAAAGAATTTGTCCTTGGAGGCAAAGAGGGGAAAGTATGAGTGTATTGTTTTACCAACGCTCTTATATGGGTGTGAAGCATGGGTGATGAATGTTGCAGCGAGGGGAAGGCTGGAGGCAGTGGAGACGTATGTCTGAGGCAATGTGTGGTGTGAATATTTAAAGCAAAGGGAAAATGCAGTTTGGAAGTTAGGAGGGGTGCGGGATTACCAAAAATGTTGTCCAGAGGGCTGAGGAAGGGTTGTTGAGGTGGTTCGGACATGTGGAGAGAATGGAGCGAAAACAGAATAACTTCAAGAGTGTATCAGTCTGTAGTGGAAGGGAAAGGCGGGGTAGGGGTCGGCCTAGGAAAGGCTGGAGGGGGGGGTAAAAGGGGGTTTTGTGTGCGAGGGGCTTGGACTTCCAGCAGGCATGTGTGAGCGTGTTTGATAGGAGTGAATGGAGATAAATGGTTTTTAATACTTGACGTGCTGTTGGAGTGTGAGAAAGTAACATTTATGAAGGGGTTCAGGGAAATTTGGCAGGCCGGACTTGGTCCTGGGATGGGAAGTACAGTGCCTGCACTCTGAAGGAGGGGTGTTAATGTTGCAGTTTAAAAACTGTAGTGTAAAGCACCCTTCTGGCAAGACAGTGATGGAGTGAATGATGGTGAAAGTTTTTCTTTTTCGGGCCACCCTGCCTTGGTGGGAATCGGCCAGTGTGATAATAATAATAAAAAAAAGTATATACAATATTTTATGATGTTTTATGTGTTTTATGATTGTTTGTGGTTCAATAGATTAAGGAAGTAGCATTGTTAGGCTAAGTAAAACCATTTTTATTTTTCCCTAAATATATTTGCTCATCCAAACAGTACGTATTATTATATTTTCCCCACTCATATTTGCCCCACCAAACATTCACGAATTTTCAAGATTCACGAGGTCCTTGATCCCCCAACCCTCGCAAAAGTGGAGGGCCTCCTATATATTAATGTGCTTTTATTGCTCATGTATATACATATAACTTGTTTTTCAACAAACTGCCATATTGCACCCAGGCAGGGTGGCCCAAAAAAAGAAAACAAAGTTTTTTTTTTTTAAAATTAGTAAATATATACAGAAGGAATTATTAGACCCTTGCTCCCCGCATTTTAGTCACCTCTTATGGGCAACATGGCTCACAGCAGAAGAACTCTGTTCCACTTCTCCATGGTGAATATATAGGGTGTGTAAAGGTAGAAAGTTAAAAGTGAACATAGATAAGAATAAGGTGATGAGGATATCAAGCTATTTAGATAAAGAAAATTGGATATCACATGGGAGAGGGGGGGATGGGAAGAAGTGAATGTTTTCAGATATTTGGGAGTTGACTTGTCAGCAGATGGGTTTATGAAGGTGGGGTTAACCATAGAATTGATGAAGAAAAAAAGGCGGGGGTGGTGCGTTGAGGTATCTTTTGAAGACAAAAATCGTTAACTATGGAGGCAAAGAAAGGAATGTATGAAAGTACAGTGGTACCAACACTTATATGGGTGTGAAGCTCGGGTTGTAAATGCTGCAGTGAGGAGGCGGCTGGGGGCAGTGGAGATGTCTTGCCTAAGGGCAGTGTGTGGTGTAAATATTATGCGGAGAATTTGGAGTGTGGAAATTAGGAGAAGGTGTGGAGTTACTATAAGTATTAGTCAAAGGGCTGAAGAGGGGCTGTTGAGGTGGTTTGGTCACTGAGAAAGAATGGCTCAAAGTAGAATGACTTGGAGAGCGTATAAACCTGTAGGGGAAGGAAGGAGGGGTAGGGGTCATCCTCAAAAAGGTTGGAGGGAGGGGGTAAAGGAGGTTTTGTGGGCGAGGGGCTTGAACTTCCAGCAAGCTTATGTGAGCGTGTTAGATAGGAGTGAATGGAGACGAATGGTTTTTGGGACCTGACTATCTGTTGGAGTGTGAGCAGGGTAATATTTAGTGAAGGAATTTAGGGAAACCAGTTAGTCAGACTTGAGTTCTGGAAATGGGAAGTACAATGCCTGCACTTTAAAGGAGGGGTTTGGGATATTAACAGTTCAGAGGGACTTCTAAACTGTCATAATCCGAACGCCTCTACAACGACAGTGATTATGTATGAGTGAGGTGAAATTGTTGAATGATGAAAGTATTTTGTTTTTGGGGATTTTCCTTTTTTTTGGGGCACACTGCCTCGGTGGGAGATGGCTAACTTGTTGATTTTTTTTTTTTTTTTTTTTTTAACATATCAGCCATTTCTCACCAAGGCAGGATGATCCAAAAAAGAAAGAAAAAACTTTCATCATCATTCAACACTTTCACCATCATTCATAGGTAATCACTGTCTTTGCAGAGGTGCTCAGATATGACAGTTTAGATGTCACTCCAAACAGCCAATATCCCAAACCCCTCCTTTAAAGTGCAGGCATTCTACTTCCTATCTCCGGAACTCAAATTCGGCTAACCGGTTTCCTTGAAACCCTTTACAAAATATTACCCTGCTCACACTCAAACAGCTGGTCAGGTCCCAAGAACCGTTAGTCTCCATTCACTCCTAACATGCTCACGCACACTTGCTGGAAGTCCAAGCTACTCGCGCACAAAACCTCCTTTACCACTCCCTCCAGCCTTTCCTAGGACGACCCCTACCCTGCCTTCCTTCCACTACAGATTTATATGCTCTCCAAGTCATTCTACTTTGTTCCATTCTCTCTAAATGACAAAACCACCTCAATAACCCCTCTTCAGCCCTCTGACTAATACTTTTAGTAACTCCACACCTCCTAATTTCCACACTAAGGCTTCTCTGTATAATTTTTACACTACTATATGTGTATATAGTGCATAAAAGTGTTTCTTTCTGTAACCTAGACCCATTAACAAACATTTTTCCCCATATATGTTTAGTAGTGCTCCATAAGACGTGCATGTCATAAAATGGGACTAAAATGCCAGGAGCAAGGAGATAATAACCTCTTCTCCTGTATAAATTACTAAATGTAATGAGAAGAAAAACCTTCTGAAAGCATTTCTTCTTTTTTGGGTCACCCTGCTTCAGTGGAAGATGGCTGGTGTTAAAAAAAAAAAAAAAATTTATTTTTTAAATCTATCATCAGTACCATACTGCCTTGTCAAATATAAGGAATGCATTCTGTGAGTATCTCATGAATGGTGAATTTATGAATATGGAGCATACGTTTAGTGGGCTAAAAATAAAGGGAATGCATTCTGATCCTCCATGGCCTCCATATCCAGACATGGTACTAGTCTCTATATCCAGTTGTATTATATACTGGTAAGTATGATAATTTGACACAGTGTGCAGTTTATAGCATTTTATTGAGATGTTTTATCAGTTCTCACAAGTGATAGTCCCTGGTCAAATGAAATGTCCTCTAAATAAAATACCATAAACTGCATAGTGTCTTTTTAACAGTGATAGTCTCTTATTAAAATATGTAATGTAAACCAAGACTTTTATTTTAGATGGTGTTTGTCAGGATAGCTTTATTAAACTCCATCCTAAATATATTGTAGGTCAATCTTGAGGAAATATTCTCTAAAATAATGGCTTGCTCTGCATTGTGTCCTAATACTCACATGTTGGCTTGTTGCCTGTCACCATAGTGCTACTTTGTTGTTTTATCAATGTATAATCTAGCAGACATATACAGAAAGGATGCAGTGGTAGATCTGGGAGCCATTCTCTTGGATAACAGCATTAAATAGTACCATATGCAAATTGTGGTTCTAAAAACCCAGCATTTATTGGTTTAAAAGTCTTAAGTATTATGGGTATCATTCACAGACAAAAGTTGCGTAGATGTTTTTAGATAATAAACTGATGAAACTTGCTTTGGGCTTGATACAGCTTCAAACAAGCATCTAATGGGACTTTGAGTTCTAGCTTGGGCATTTAAAATATTCATCATAAGGAAAACAAAAATGTCCTCTAAATTTTGTCTGTCATTCCACGAATTTAGTCAGTTAAGTGTAGGAACAGGTAAAGAAAATGATGTTAATTGTTATAGGAAATCAAAGGTGTCTGTTTAAAAAGTAGAGAATATTTACTGCATATTATATGATTGGCAATAATCATGTTCCTAAAGAAAATTTGATTAGGTAACCTGTTTAGGATATAAGGCTTAAGGAGAGTAGTACCAACTGTGCTGAATAATTATTGTATATTATTAAAGGTTCCATTGCTGAAGCGAGCAGGGTAATAGAGAAGATAACGCATCAGAGCTGCAGCACTTCAAGAAGTGAAAGCCCTTCAGAACTCTCAGAACACAAAAAGAAACACAGAAAGAGAGAGAAAGAAAAGAAGGTAATAAAATATCTTCATTATTGATATGTATTTATTTTGGTATTTTTCACATTGCATAATCAAGATAAAAACTTATGCATGTATGTCTATTCAGATGTGTACAGTAGGCCCCACTTATACAGCGGGTTTTAGGTTCCAGGCTACTGCCAGAAAGTGGACATCACCAGAAAGCAGAACACCATTTTTTTCCACTTAAAATGCCAGATAACAAGTTTACACTAACATATTAAATTAGCATAGAACTAGGCGATAAAAACAATAAAAAGTAAAAATACAAACACACACTACACTCATTATTTACCTTAAAATATTTGTAGTCTTAATGTAGGTGAGAGATCAGTGGTATTTATTCTAAGAAGTCAGGTGTGGAGGTATGGTGGCCAGCCAGGCCAACCCACCCACACGTAGTGTACTAGGACATTTAACCCTTTGACTGTTTTGGGCCGTATATATATGTCTTACGAGCCAGTGCTTCGGACATACAGTGGACCCCGCTTAACGATCACCTCCCAATGCGACCAATTATTGTAAGTGTATTTATGTAAGTGCGTTTGTACGTGTATGTTTGGGGGTCTGAAATGGACTAATCTACTTCACAATATTCCTTATGGGAACAAATTCGGTCAGTACTGGCACCTGAACATACTTCTGGAATGAAAAAATATCGTTAAATGGGGGTCCACTGTATATGTACTCAATGATTCTAGCGGCTTCAAATCAAGCAGGAGAAAGCTGGTAGGCCCACATGTGAGAGAATGGGTCTGTGTGGTCAGTCTGCACTGTATAAAAAAAAATCCTGCAGCAGGCAGTGCATAATGAGAAAAAAAAATGACCGTGTTTTTGGATTAAAACACCGACTTTGAGGTGTATTTTCGTATGGTATTTATGGTTGTATTCTCGTTTTCTTGGTCTCATTTGATAGAATAAAAAACATATTACAGAAATAGAAATGATTTTGATTAGTGTCACGATGAAAGCGACCTTGAAATTGAGCTCAAAGTAGCGGAAATGTTCAATTTTTACCTATGTTCAGGAGTAAGCAAATCACACTACACATCTAGTACACATCAACTGGAGAGTCTAATATTCTTTCACTAGTGCGTTTTCAACTTTCGCGGGCTTCACACATTCGCGAATTCCAACCACCAAATTCCCAGCTGCCAATTCATATTTAAGTTTACTGCCACGAGTCTTTACTACCCTCCCTCCGACCCCTGCAACTGGCAGCCAGCCCTCCCACCACTGTGTGGTGAGTGTTTTGTTTGTTCATTATTTGCTATTAAACTACAGTATAAATAATGTAAACCCATCCATGACTGCATATTAGAATGGCTATTCGGACAGGTATTGGAAGGTGACATCATGTGTTTACTCTTGAACACAGCAAAGAATCAAACATTTCTGCTACTGCTAATAATAATAATAACAATAATATTAAATATAATAATAATAATAATATTAATATAAAATAAAAAAATTTTAATATAAAATAATAATAATAATAATAAAATAATAGGTAAATTGAGGTAGTAGGTTGGTAGACAGAAAACCCCACCCAGGGGGTACCCCCACCTCCCAAGTGAGTGTAAAACAAAGCCTGAAATTTGTTTTACATGATGTAGGTTTGCGGGTGTCTTTTGTCTGTCTCAAAAATAGCAAGTTTAAGGCATGTCTTGCAAATTCTATTAACTTGGGTACAGTACACTACATGTACTCGTTTTTTATACACATCTCGATTTTCTTTGATTTTACTAATAAGACTCAAGAAATCGTAATGAACTTTGCAAACAAAATACCCCCGGCCGGGATTGCCCCCGGTCAAGTCTCAAAATCCAGCCCGTGGGGTTACCACTAGACCAGTAGCCACAAAAATTCATCCAACTAGTTATTTTTTACACCTGGAAGGTTAGAAAACGCGAGGGGTGGAGTTTTGAGAGACATGACCGGGAAATCCCCCGGGGTAGGGTCGGTTTACTTAATATTTCGGTCTTATTGTTTTTCCTTTTATATCCAGGGGAAGGGGAATAAGAATCTTTCCCCGTAACCAGGGATAAAAGTCAACTAAAATCCCGGGAACAATGGGCTAGAAACCCCCTTTTTTTCTGTAAAGATTCTAAAAAAAATAAGAAGAAAATTGTCAAAGTGGAAAGTCTGAATTCGTGGAAATGTTGTGAAAAAGAAGAAAGAGATGTTTGGGATTTATGAATGAAAAGAAACGGGATGTCCTGGTTTTAAGTGAACAAAGCTGAAGGGTGGGGAGAGTTTCAATGGAGGGAAAAAAAGGGGATTAGGTCGGGGTTTCAAAAGAGTTAGGTAAAGAAGGAGTAGCAATAATGTTGAAGGTTAAAATGGAGGAAAAAGAGGGACTAAAAATTTAAAAAATTAAGGATTATGTGGAGTAAAATAAAGATTGGATGTAAAAAGGGGTTTTTAAAGTAAGGTGTTTTTCACCTAGAAAAGAAAGGAAGGAGAGAGAGAGATTTTTTGGGAAATGTTGATGAATGCGGGGGGATTTTAATCAAGTGGAGAGTAATGGGGGTTTGGGATTTCAATGCAAAGGGGGGAAAAAATTTTATGGAGGGGTGTAGGTAAATTTGGGGTCCCCGGGGTAAAGAAAATGGGGACCCTTTAAATTGAGCTATGTGAGAAAGAAATTTGGTAATAAAAAACTATTTTAGAAAAAAGGATAAATAAATATAAAAGGGGTAGATGTGCACGTAATAAAAGTAGTTTGTTAATTATGTATTGGGGGAAAAAAGGTTGAGGGTAGGCCCCAGGATGTACATTTTTATAGAGGGGCAACTATATATCGCTCATTTTTTTAGTTGTACTACAGTAAGTAAGAGGAAAAGGGGGGAAAAAGGGGAAAGGGGCAACAACAAAAAGGGGAGGGAGGTGAAAGTTTTAAAAACAAGGAGGGGGAAGTTCGGGGAATAAGCGCTATTGGCAAAAAGGGGGCTGGCAAAGATGAGTAGGGGGGGGGTTAAAGGGGGTTGGAATATTTTAAAAAATGCAATATTAAATGTGGGGCGAAGTTTTGGTTAAGGAGGGGGGGGGCAGGGGGAAAGAGTGATTGGGTGGAATGGAAGAAAGGGTGAAAAAAAGAGAAAAAGGAAGCTTTGAGGGGTTTTTTACAAAGCAAAGTGTTATAAGAAGAAAGTATGGAGGAAAAAAAGGTGGAGAGAGTGCAAAAGGAGAGCAATGATGAGTGGGAGAGGAGCAAGAAATTTTTAAAGAAAAAAAGAAAAAATTTTGGGGTTAAAAAAAGTTAAAAAGCCTGGGAAAGTATGGATTTGTCTTAAAAAAAGAGTAGGGGGGTTAGTAGATGGGGAGAGGGGGGTTTAGGTAAAGGGAGAAAATTTTGAGGAATTTTAAAAATTTTAGGAAGAAAGGGAGGGGTAATTTCATCCGGCCCGGGGGGTATACCATCTTTTTGGAGGGAAAAGAGCAGAATGTAAGGTGGGTGGGGGTACGTGTTACAAAAAACCGATTCTAAAAACTTTGAGTCTCCGTGAATACTAAAGGACTGCCCTTCTCATCCGCCTGTTATGGGTTTTTTGTAACAAGTAGTCAGTACCTTTTCCAATTATCCATTAAATTTGTAAAAATTCAATAGTTCTTTAGGATTACAAAATGGGAGGCTTCTAAAATAGAGAAATTAAAATTTAATAAATTTATTAATCTGAGGTATATTATCAAATAAATTAAACCAGCAATCAAATAAAAACAAAACTCCGAGTTCAAAATTATTGTCGAAAGCACATATACATTTATAATCTTAAGTACCGTCGGTACATAACATTTTAAAAAGAATTTCAAAAGTACAAGTAAGTGGTATGGTGTAATGCTCTAAGAGTTCACTAAATTTTTCACGACTCGACTAAACTTTAAAAAGTGAAGAGAAAGTCCTCAAATAAATAACTTTTTGACCGACTGGCAACCAAACAGTCTGCTTGAAAATGAAAAAAATGCAAGCCCAATAGCCTTAACAAACGACTGCGACACAATCGGATCAAAGGGGATAATATAACGACACTAAGTAGGGACCATCACAATCCCCACAAAAGTTACAAAAATCCCCCTAAACTGAAACTAATTCAGCATGGAAAAACCCTGATGTGAAATCCAAAACCAGTAAAATTAGGTCATAAGCACAGCTCGGACCTTGGGTGCTCAGATGTCTATGTGCACAACCTCAGAAACGTCGAAAAAACACAATCTATACAATTTCCCGTAAAAAGGGTTCTACAGAACTAACAAGAATAATAAAATAGGGCAATCGTCCAACCACCAAAATCTGGGGCAGACTGAATACTTCACGAGAGGTAGGACACCCCCCCCCGATCAGTGATAGCCCCTGGACAGCACAGCTTTAAAACCGGGGGTTAACGAGCGACAAGCATAATTACTAGTTTTCAATCAAACTTGAATGAGCACAAAAATGTACATCCAACAAAAAATCAAATAAGAATATAAAACAATAATTTTCGATTTAGCTTTACGCAAATATAAGCAATATAAAAAATTTTTGAAAAGATAAAATACATTATAAAATAATAAAATCATTGTAACCATTTAGGGTTTTCAAAAGTAGTAGGCTTACGTAGAATGAAAGGGGGTAAAGCACTGGAACTATGGTCAGACAGAAATGTTAAAAAAAAGGGGGGGGGGGGATATAGGTTGGATGGTTTGGGACTTTTGTTTAATAAATTAAAAGGGGGAAAATACCTAGGGATTGGGGGAGAGCATAAATCCGTTTTTATAAAGGGGAAAAGGGGGCAAAAGATATGTAAAAATTATAGAGGAATAATTATGAGTATACCCGGAAAAAATATGGGAGGGGTTTAATTAAAGAATTAGAGGTAAGACACAATTAGGATTTCGGATGACAGGGAGGCTTCAGGTGGGTAGGGGGTGGTGATCAATGTTTAATTGAAGCATATATTGAACAGTTTAGAAAAGGTGGGGAAATTTTTTTTGATTATGGTTTTTGAAAGGCA